AAAATTTAAAATATTTATATTTCTTTGTCATTTAAATGTTCACCGAGTTAATAACCATGCATCGAAATTTCGAAATGACGTACAACATAAATCACAAATGAATAATACGTACCTCAGGATCGTTGAAGAGAGCTGATAACTGTCAGTTTTGTCCCTATGGATAATTGTTGAATGTGTTAATGTCATCAACAACTTCCAAATCTAAAACTAATGCGAAGCTGATAAAATTATAGTTCGACGTAATTTTATCGAGAATCTGTCTCATAGAGACTTCCAAATGGTAATTCATCTTGTAAAATATAAAATATTTAGACATTGTATAAGAGAAAATAGATAGAGCATAATATTTGAAAATTAAATAGTTTATTTACTTATTTAAATTGTGTATTAAATATTTAATTTTTAACTATTTATTTAAATTGTTTATTTAATATTTAATTATTTCGTTTAATTTTTTTACTATTACTTAACATAAAATAAGTAATTAAATATTAAATAAGTAATATACATAAAGAACTTAAATAAATATTTAAACATCTGTAAAATAATAAATAAGTAATTAAATATTAAATAAGTAATATACATAAAGAACTTAAATAAATATTTAAACATCTGTAAAATAATAAATAAGTAATTAAATATTAAATAAGTAATATACATAAAGAACTTAAATAAATATTTAAACATCTGTAAAATAATAAATAAGTAATTAAATATTAAATAAGTAATATACATAAAGAACTTAAATAAATATTTAAACATCTGTAAAATAATAAATAAGTAATTAAATATTAAATAAGTAATATACATAAAGAACTTAAATAAATATTTAAACATCTGTAAAATAATAAATAAGTAATTAAATATTAAATAAGTAATATACATAAAGAACTTAAATAAATATTTAAACATCTGTAAAATAATAAATAAGTAATTAAATATTAAATAAGTAATATACATAAAGAACTTAAATAAATATTTAAACATCTGTAAAATAATAAATAAGTAATTAAATATTAAATAAGTAATATACATAAAGAACTTAAATAAATATTTAAACATCTGTAAAATAATAAATAAGTAATTAAATATTAAATAAGTAATATACATAAAGAACTTAAATAAATATTTAAACATCTGTAAAATAATAAATAAGTAATTAAATATTAAATAAGTAATATACATAAAGAACTTAAATAAATATTTAAACATCTGTAAAATAATAAATAAGTAATTAAATATTAAATAAGTAATATACATAAAGAACTTAAATAAATATTTAAACATCTGTAAAATAATAAATAAGTAATTAAATATTAAATAAGTAATATACATAAAGAACTTAAATAAATATTTAAACATCTGTAAAATAATAAATAAGTAATTAAATATTAAATAAGTAATATACATAAAGAACTTAAATAAATATTTAAACATCTGTAAAATAATAAATAAGTAATTAAATATTAAATAAGTAATATACATAAAGAACTTAAATAAATATTTAAACATCTGTAAAATAATAAATAAGTAATTAAATATTAAATAAGTAATATACATAAAGAACTTAAATAAATATTTAAACATCTGTAAAATAATAAATAAGTAATTAAAACTAAATTGGCAAATAATAAATATTTAGATAAATAATAAAACATTTATATTAAGCATTTCAAAGAAATAATTTTAAATACATAATATACATTAAAATTAAACAATTCAAATAATAATTAAATATTAGACAACACAATATAAGAATTAAAATAAATAGTTAACTTAAAAAATTAAAGGAAATAAATAAATAAGCAATTTTAAAAAAAATTTGGGCCTCTGGCGTCGGCCCAAATGACTGGGCTGTCTGGGCGCCCAGGCGGCCCAGTCGACCCAGACGGCTGGGCGCCCAGACGGCCCAGTTGACCCAGGTGGCCCAGTCAACTGGCGCCCAGACGGCCCAGACGACCCAGTCAACTGGGCCGTCTGGGTGAGTCTGGGTCATCTGGGCATGCCTAATCGGTCTAGTCAGCTGGGCTTACGTCTCCTTTGTGGAGATCGCCGGAAAACTCCATTTTCGGCGATCTCTACTCCATTTTCCTCCTCCCAAACTATTATCCTTACCCAAAAATCATGTATTTTTCCAAAAATCAACACATGTATATAAAATCATGTTTTTTTTTTTCCAAAAATCAACACATGTATATAAAATCATGTTTTTTTTTTTCCAAAAATCAACACATGTATATAAAATCATGTTTTTTTTTTTTCAAAAATCAACATAAAAACTTTAAATATGGGTCGTCTATTTTTTCTTTTTTATCAGTGCTACAGTAATTTTTCTCTTTCCTTACTATCTTCTCTTTCTTCTTTAAATAGTAAGGGTAAATTTGGGTTTCTCTTGATTTTCAATATTTTAAACATTTTGCTTTTTTTTTTTTTAATTGGTCAAAGGCCTCTTTGGAAAACTGGCCGGGTCAACCGGCTGTTGGCCACTAATTCCTCGGAGTGTGGTGGTGCTGTGGGTGGTGCGATGATCGGTGGTGGCATGTTGTGGGCATGCTGGTGTGGTGGTGGTACAGGTATGGTGGTGCTCATGAAGGGTGGTGGCAGGAGGCAATGGTGCTCATGATGGTGACTTTGGAAGTGGAGGTGACCAATTATTGTTTTGTTGTTAATGATGTTGGTGGTGGTTGTTGCGGTGGCGGTAATGGGTGGGGTGTCTGTAACCAACATTTAGGTATCTGTGACCAACTATTTAAGTATATGTGACCATTTAGCTTATTTGTGACCAACAAACTGTGTCCATGTGACTCACAGATCAAATGTGACCTATAATTTGAATTATCTGTGACCTCAAAATAATTTTTGAAATAATCTGTGACCAATAAAAATTCTGATTTGTGACCAACTAATTTGACGATATGTGACCAGTTAATGAATCTGTGACATATAATTATGAATTCGTGAACATTAATCATGTAACTGTGACTTTATTATATTTATTTAATAAATATTCTTAATTAATTAAATATATACCTGAATTTTGAATTTTCAAACTTTATACCTAATTTTTTAAATGGTTTAAAGAATACACCTGAAATATGATTCATTCCCAACGTGGAAATTAGACAGGGCTAAAATAGAAGTACGTGCTAAGCCTTTCTTAGTCTGCAGACTCTGCACAGTATATCCATTGATTTTGCACATTAAGCCCAGACCCAACTGTATTACTACCGAGTTAGGGGGACATCTTGGTCCAACTTGAAAAATTGGTAAAACAAGGTTTTCTCTTAATAATGTAATATAGTAAATTATGAAATCTTTTTTTGGAATAATGCAGACACAAAATTTTTCGAATATGATTTTAACACAGTTCTGGAGTGATTTGAGAGCAGTATCATCTCCTTTAATGGGTTGAAAGAACCCCCCCCCCCCCCTCTCTCTCTCTCTCTCTCTCTCTCACACACACACACACAAACATGCAAGGTCATGTACACGAATGAGCACACCAAATATCATTTTATTGATTATATATATATATATATCTTCTAAGTAGAAGATTGATTATCCCTTCAAATTAGCCTACAGTATGACCCATATAACACAGCAGCAAGGTTTGCTCATTAAACATGTTGTGTACATATTCTGATGAACCTAGAGTTTGGACAACGAAATTTTTTACCAATACCCAAAATATTGAGGCGTTAAGACATTAAAAAAATTTAGATTGTTTTTGATACATAAATTGAACATACCACTTAGGATAAAAGGCAAATTTTTATTTTTGTCTCGTATTGACCAATTCATCATTCCAGCACATGCATGTTGATATTATATATAACAGGTGCACATAACGTAGACCTTAGATTCTCTTCAAGTAATGATCCAACGTAGTTTAAAGATGTGACACAAAGAGAAGTTGATATCATGTCAAAATGGCTTTCTCAATATGAGTAATTTTACTGTGTACGTAAAGTGTGTTATCATTCTCGGTGTTAAAGTGTGAAACCTAATTGTTGTCGTGGTACAAAGCCAATAGGATCTTGCGTTATCGTCAAAGAGAGAGAGGGTTGTTGCGGAAGATCAAATGTTCAATTTTCTCTTATAAACATTTTATTTTTTTTAATGATAGTGAGTTATTGTAGCATGGACGAAGACATAGTCTCACATTAAGACGAATTATTGTAAATTTTGAGTATTCTTTTGTGTCTCTATTCCTTCACTGTGATTTTTTTGCTTTTGATGATATAAATTAAGATTTCTAATTCTCAAAGGTTAAACATTTTGTTCCTCTTTTGTGAGTAATTTTATTTTTTAATAAACTAGTAGATTCACGCCACCGTATAAATAATTTTTCTAAAAAAACATCAAAGACTCTCTCTAACAGGATTAACTTGACTATCGAAATTAATTAACCAGCAATAATGAAAAAAGAAAAGAAAACTGAAAAGCAACTATTT